CCCCCACACACACACAAACACCACTCGAAATAAATAAAACGAGTTCCTTACATAACATCCCATTATAGATTATTATATTCCTATGATATTTAACAAAAGCTATACGCGAGTTTTTCAACCCCCTAAGAGTCTTTGAAACATGCTTTTAACATCAAAGAAGATTACACCAGTTTAAATTATGATAATCCGATTAAACCTTTCAAATATACAAGAGGATAATCCTCGCCCTCGGACCAGCTCTTTTCAATATCTTGTGAGTATCTTTTGAATAATTCAGTATCGGTATCATGATCCGACAGCGATACTGAAAGATTATACATTCGATGCTCGCTCGTGTGATTAATAGTGTTTGGCGTGAGTGAAAAGTAGGGAGCATTTATGGTATTGATTACTCTGTCTGTCTGTCTGTCTGTCTGTTTGTCTGTTTGTCTGTCTGTCCATCTCTCTATCTATTTCAATTCAACAATTCATCTATCCATCCATCTATCCATCCATCCATCCATCCATCCATCCATCCATCCATCCATCCATCCATCCATCAATCCATCCATCCCCCTCCCTCCCTCCCTCCCTCCATCCACCCATCCATCCATTAATCCATCCATCCATCCATCCATCCATCCATCCCTACCCCCCCCCCCCAATTTAAAAAAAAAGGAGTTTACGAAAAATAATTGAAATCTCCAGAATACTTTACAATTTCCTTTCAGTTGTTCTCAAGAGGCTCATTAAAGTACCATGGCTTGAAATTACCTGAACTGCTTTTAGGACATGGATACTACTATGAAGACTAATGAGGTAGCTCAAGAAATTTTAACTGTACTCTCCGAGCCAAACATAGTGAACAATGATTGGAACAATATTTCAGTTTTCTAGATTCTCCATTTTCTGGAATGTGCCATAAATGAGTGATGAGATTGAGATTCACCAAGAAAAATAAGGAAAGGAAAAAGGTCATTTACTATGTGAACACAGAAATATATAACTTTTTCTAATCTGAGTGTATGGCAGATGGAACAAAAAAAAAAAAAAAAAAAGAATGTCAAAAAGACTTTAAAAAAGCAAGTTTTTAGAAAATCTTCATTTGACATTTTTTACTAGCACAACAAGAACAGCTGCATCATAATGTGGAGAGAACAAAAAATTTTTTTTTTACCCTGCCCAATTCTATCATCTGGCGTTTTTGTACTTGGTAATAACAACAAAGTGTGTTACATTTTGGGTTTTGAAATTAGCTGTTAGTCATAGAGTAAACACACAGGAAAATGTTTTACATAAATACATTAATAAATAAGTGAATACATATGTTTCTTCACTCTTATGACATTTTTTTGGGTAAGTTTCACATCTAAGTGTTGCCAGAACCCCAGCTGGAGATGGCTACCACAACTGGTTAGTAGTTAATTGGTTAGATCATGTCTGTCCTACATTCCTCAGCTCTTTCGAGTCACGATGTGGGCACCCTCAGTCACGCTCCCTAGAGGAGTCATCTTTACAGTGTCACCGAAGGTTCCAAAAGTTTGCACGAATGTGGAGAGAACTAACACAGTTCATTCCAAATAGACAGTTCCCTCCACACCATGATGTCGTTCTTTTTATTGTTGTGCTTTTAAGTATTATAACAAAGTCCAAAGACCTCTGCAAGCAATGTATTGCAGATGAAAATACTTTTCTGTGGCAATCTCCAAGGAACAAAATAGATAGAAACAAAAAAGACAAACCTGCAAATGCCTGTCTATATTCAGCGATGAAGGCACTTTCTCATACACCTTATAGGGCATGTGAATGGCATTGTAGGACCAGTGGTTATCCAGGTACCATCTGTAGGATTCCAAGAAGTGTCTCAGGAACGGTGCCCCGGGAGCTGCAATAAGGACCCCAAGGTTAATCACATCAGGAAACACGCCGGTTTTTGGCCAGTCTACATTTGCCGTCGTCTTATGTCGCCGGAGGGACGGCCACATAGGCTTCACAAAAAGTACATCCCAGTCAGCATATATGCCCCCATACCTCAGAAGAATATCAGCTCGGAGATAGTCACTTGCATGAGAAGCGAATTTTTTTATTGGTTCCCCATATACTGATGGTGGAAAATCCCTCTTGATGAAGTTGACTCGTTTATCTTTCACAACTTCCTTCCAGTAGTCCCCGAGAGGTTCATAATCACCATGGATATATACCTGATCCGCTTTTAGGACATGGATACTACTAAGAAGACTGAGGTAGCCCATGAAATTTAAACTGCGCTGTCCGAGCCAAACATAGTGAACGATATTTGGAACAATATCAAAGTTTTCTGGAAGACTTTCCATTTTCTGGGATGTGCCATAACCAACCCACCGCATTAACTGACGAAACTGAGATTCACCTCCCAAAACATGGACAGGAAAAAGATCATTCGTTATATAAACACAGGTGTTCTTTTTCTGGAAGGAATATGTATCAGATACAGCGCAAAAACTGTCAAAAAGACTTTTGGAGTGTAAAAACTTTTGAAAATCCTCTTCATTTGAAATTTTTTCCAGTTCGAGATTTGACTGAGCAGTAACCACTAATGGAGCACGGCTTTCTTCCTGTCGCATCACACTAACCTTATGACTAAGAACACTATCAAAATCAGGGGATGGGCTTAAAAGAGTTTGCCCATTGATCACGATTCCACCTCTGGGGCCAAGTATTTTTAAGTAGGCGAGGGCTAAAGTGACAGGGTCACTAGAGCAAGCTTCTTTATGAGTCAGTCGAGACAGCACAAGGGATGGGACGTCTCTTTTCAAATCTGACAAGAACTGATAATAGCCGTTTGGATCCATTTCTGGCTGGCCAAGTAAATGAAGATAGATGACAGACGGTTGGATCACCTTAAATCCAGATAGCACACTAAGGTAATTGGAAAAAGTAAAATATTTTTCCTCACACCAGACGACATGCAGAACAGGAGGTACTTTGTTGATGAGGCTGTTTTTCTGCGCATGGTGTTGCAAGTATCTGTCCACTTTCACACTTTTCAGCGACTGATTTGTGGGTGAGCTGATGTGACTTTTACTACGGAAATAATGATCAGGAAAAGCGGGCACAAAACCATGCCGAAGCTTTGCTGGAAGCACAAGGGACTTCACACTGTTCTGACCATAAGAAATAATTATGAAATTCAGAATGAGCAAAAACAGCGAAATGGCCATGCTGAGCTTGAATGCATCTCGAACCATGAAGACCCAACATTTTTTTGATGTGCGAACAACAGTGCTGATAGCCTGAGCTCCAGTCACTATCAAACAATACAAATCCATTCTCCATGAAAACAAGCTTGGCATGATTGCTGGACGGCACCTGAAAAAGAATAGAAAAATAAATAAATACCATCTTTTTTCTTTCAGAAGATCTTTTAACTGGAAAAAGTGAATTAATTTTTTAGCAAATGATTGACACTTTTTATGAACTACCCAAAGTTAACATCACTATCCAACATTAATGTTACATATATAATATATATGAAGTTAAAAAGATCATCAGAGCCAAAGTTGTCTCAGGATGAAAGAGCGGAGAGGTTACCACACAAAAGGAACACACAAACAGGTTCGGCATTGAACCACGACAATCAAAACTCTTTCTGCCCAAATGTAAGTTAGGGCAGTTTTGAAACAAAGCTGGCCCTGCTGAAAATTGCATTTTTGAAATAGAAAAATTGCAAAAAATTGCAAAGTAAACTGCCTAAAAATTGCAACCTTCCCATCCCTGATGCACTGATACAGGCTTAACATTTTTAGTTTAAAAAACATGACAATTTGAGTACCGATAGCATAAAAGCAGGACAGCCTTTTAAAAAATCATGACCCACAAAACAAATTTTATTAACAAGATTTACTAGTAACAACACTCGAGTACGTTAACAATTAAGTTATCGACCAAATATAATATAATATAATACCGCGTGACACAAAATAACGGAACCCTCGGTTTTCGTAATAACTTTTAAATGAAGGCATAAATTTTGACCAAATTTAGTACATACCGGGTACTTAGTTCTTGCAAAGATCTAAAAGTGTAGTATGAGGTTTAGTCTATAAAAACAAAAAAAATTTATGGGAGACTTTCGAAACAACCTCTAAATGCAAAATTAGCTCCAATCAATTCAGATCCTATTCTATTTTTCTCTTGAAACCTTCGATATACCAGTAATCTGTGTTTGGATTTATTTCCCATATTTTCTTTTTTAAATTAAAACCAGTATGGTATTGTTTTAACACTAAGTCAAATCGTAAAATACAGATCATTTTTTTTCAGATTATCTGCTTTCCTTGCATTTTTACTCCTATTGGGTAGCAAGAATGCCGAGGAACAGCAATTTGAGAGTAGACTTATAGTTAAAAAGTCCTCCGTTTTTATGTTATGACTCTGAAGGAGCCAACTTAGACATTGTCATTGAGAGCAATGCAGCTACGGCAGGGTGCTTCTTTTTTCCGAAACCTACTGAAACCTATCTAAACCGTCCGAAACCAACTGACAGAAAGAATACAATCTTGAATACATACTCAAGATTGTCGGAATGTATCTCTCTCTCTCTCTGACTTTCTCTCTTTATACAGTGTTTTCATTAATACCAGTGAACCAATTCATTTGTTAGCGACAAAACGGGGACATTCTGAGAAATCCTCATCTTGCATGTCTGTTTTTCACCTTTTAACATTTGTCCGCTCATTAAAAAATAAAAAAATAAAATAATGATGTTAATGTTATGTTATTTTAGTGTCTTGTGAAAAGTGGTAGCACAGAAGGTGTGTTGGTCTATGTGAGCCAAGTGCCTGGGCGTTCTGGTCAGAAAGCACTGAAGAGGGATGTCTGTGTCCCAGCTGTGTTGGGGATCCCTTTGATTTCCAGGCAGGGATGCTTCGCATGCATGAGGTACATATTGAAGTTTATGTAATCTATATAGTCCATGCCGGTCATCGTGACAAAGCGTAAGTGTGCTTTAAGCCGAGGTGTGCTTGAGTGCGAAGTAGACATAACCAGAGATTTTCATGTAGAAAATATAAAACCATATGTTTTCTTAACACTTTGCTGTCACATCTCGCCGATAGGCGATGTTTACCACCCAGTTTCTTTGGATCTACCCCAAAATGCCTTTGATGGCAAGATAGTTTTTACTATATGAGCCTTGTGATAGCAAAGTGTTAAAGCTGATAGAATGAGCCATTAAAAAATGATAAGCGATCAAATTACAAACAAAGAGCAAAACGCGATGAACTAAAAAATTAGTACATTAGCACGGCGAAACTTGAAGTGATCATATAGCAATAGCATGAAGTCGCTCAGCTGGACCGTGTCACTTTATCAATCTTTACTAGAGTCTAGTAGAGAATCTTTGGCTCTACGAGGTCAAGATAACTTGCAAAGTCATTCGTCATAATTTATAACTTTTCTTTTTTTTTTGGTAAGTGTTTTACGGCACTTGCAACCGCATAAGGTCATATGAGCGCGGGGGACACATTTAACATTTTCAGTTGGTAGGAAATTCTGAATTTTGCCTGGGTGGCGGCCAAAGCCTACTATTATCTGTTTCGGACAACCAAGGGATCTCTAACTGCGCAACTTGCACACGAGGCCTCCGACATTTTTCATCCTTGTCCGAGAAGGCTAGGGGTAGATCTTTCCTACCAAAAGATCAGGGGTGTGACTGAAAGACAGCAGTTACTAAGAAGGAGCCAAAGAGTAGCTATAAATATGGCTGCAGAAAGAGTCAGGAGCCCAGAGGAGGGGGCAAAGGAGGTGAGGAAGGGAGGGGGCAGAAAGTGGAGACAAAAGCAAACGACAGAGTGCAGAAAAGGAGGTGAAAGGAGACAATTTAGAGAAGAAAAATTTCTCGCTATCCGGTTTCAAACCCAGGACCTATTGAATGAGCAGCGAACACCTTAACTTCTAGGCCATGAGAGCCCCCATTTTATAACTTTGACCGACAATTTACTACGTCATTTTCCATAAAAAGAATACTGAAATTTCCCATTGCAAAAGGTACTCGTCTGTGCCCTTAGGGCCTGCGCCCTTCCCGGGTAGCCCGGCTCATGCCCTATAAATATATTATTATATATATATAGCTGCGCGCTTCCAGGGGTAACACACTGACTGCATGCTGCAATGTAGACAGTGTTCGACTTCAATGGTTCATCATGAAAGTATTGACTGTCTTGTAAATGAAGAGTGCCCGAAGCCGAAGTTTTCATAGCCGATTTCACAAACGTTGATTATGCGCTCTGCCGGAAACACGGTAAAACCCTCTCCTTTAGTATTTAATCACCCCCCCCCCCCCACAAACACACACAAACACACACACACACACACACACACACTCCCCCCCCCCCCACAAACACACACCTCTGTAATTTTAAATCTGCTGTGTTATCCTTGCCAAGATTGATTAACTCAATGACTTTCTGCCTTTGTATGATTAACATGTTGCTTTTAGGCTTTCAGTAGGTACCAGAAACTAAATTTTCAAAGTAGTTCTATGCCAAATTTATCAGTTCCATTTGAAAGGCCTATATCCACTGAGCATTTTGGTACCATTCTTTAACCTCTCAGTCAATTTTTAAGAAAATGGTAGTTGTTTAAAATTTGGTCAAATTTGTTAAAGTCAGTCACTGGCTGCAACCCCATGTTTGACAGACAATAAAAGAGTACCAAGAGCACTAAACATCTCCACATTAACAGAGTACAATCACTATAACAAATATATGGAGCCTAATTTTTTTCAAGACAGTGAGATCATTACAAATCAGTACTTTATCGCCTCAAACACGATGATCTGTCGTTATTTCGACAAAAACACCGAGCGTTGACCCCGCCGGCGCCGCACCGGGCCCCGCGGCGAGCGAGTCGGCTCTATACTGTAGTGTACCCCGCGTGCGGGGTCACATGCTTTCTGAGTCTCGTGGAAGGATTGATGAAAAATAATTCCAAGCTGATTACTTTATTCTAATAGAAAATAAGCTGATCTTTTATAAGATATATTTTTTAAGCCGGTATTTTACATATTATGTGTAAAAAGTGATCTTTAAACATTTTGACAGTATTTTTAAAAGCTTTCTATTTAGACGCCAAAGGCAAAACACATACCACGGGAAAGCCCGTTTAAAGCTCTACAGTTCTCCGCCAATGAAAAGACGGCATTTAAAGCTCTACAGTTCTCCGCCAATGAAAAGACGGCATTTAATCATTCCTCGTTCCGCGAAGCATTTGAATGCACCCGTGTCAATTTTTCAACCGGCCGACCACGCATTCCGACTGCGAGGGGCTTCGCTTTCGTCGGCGATTCTCCAGCTCCTACTAATCAGACATATAAACAACTTACACCATTGTAACGAAGAAAAGCTGAACTTTTACAAGGTGTACGGCACTTGGTGTTTTATCGCGAAAGAGCTAAGAAACAGCGATCGGAATTACCCCGATTTCACCGATACCACGCGGTCGGAAGGCCACGAGTGCTCGCGAGGCCGTGTTTACGCTACCTACTTTCAGGTGGTGCACATTGGCTACATCAAGTTGCGTAAAGTCGCAGCTCGAGAAGAAAAGCTTTTATATATTTAACAATATCATATCAAGAGAACTCGTCATCTTCTTCGGTAACAGCATCAGTTGACAAAACCGCAAAATCATTAATGCAGAAACATGGGCAGGCCAGGGTACGACTGACTACAGAGGGTGACGGTAGCTGCCTTTTTCACGCCACAAGCATTACTCTAATAGGAAACTGTTCATTGAGTCCTGAGCTAAGGCTCCTGGCTACCTAGGAAAGTTTCCGTAGTAGCTCGCTACTCGAGCACTCTCATGAGAAGTCGTGAGATTTCCCACCCACACTACACTGACCATCTGCATCGCTCAGGGCTCACATGATGGGGTAATATCTACCCCCAAATTGCACCCCTACTCCTCTTCATCGGCCAGCGGCATAGCCATAGCGTTAAGTTTAGAGCCGGCGGAACCAAACCTGCGAGTTTTGTTTCAAATCAAGGTTGAGCGGGCAAAGCATTTTCCGTCTTAGACAGGTGAAACCCTCGGAAGGGAGCGGATTTTTCTTTCCATTTCCGCGTTGGACAGGTTTCCGTTTTATACAGGTAAATAAAGAGGAATATATCAAGGGGGGAGCGTGGAGATTCTGTTCAGACAGGTTTCCATTTTTTATACGGGTTTCCCTTAAGGCAGGTTTGACTGTATGTGAGCCCTGAGCGATGAAGATGGTCAGGGTGGTGTGGGTGTGAAATCTCACTAGTAGCGAGCCACCAAGGAAACTTTCATTGGTAGCCAGAGGCCAGAAGTGTGAAGTTAGTTTGACAAATGCCTGCCACTCTGATCGTACAGTCAACCAAGAAAAAGAGTTCTTTTAATCGTTGATACATGGCAGTGAGGGGTGGCATTGGTTGTCTGTGCTTATTACACCGATGGGTGGGGCTAAGGGTGGAAGCAAAGGAGATGTTCAAATGCTTCTGATGTTTTTAATAAGTCAAACAGTGGTCCTATGAAATGCATGCACTGGAGGTAACTAGATAAATAAGACTGACCCATGTCATTGTCAGAGAGGATAGCAGCTGAGAGGTGTGAAGTTTGACCACTTCTGACTGCTTGCCGACCGGACAAGCGACCTTTGATCCCACCTGCTGGGCCTTTGACCCCCCCCCTTCCATCTCCCCAATAAATTCCCCTAGTCTAAGACTGAATTTTTCCTGGCTCCCTTGCGATTCCGTTCGACTGTAAATGAAGATTGCGGGTGTCTTTTCGAGGAACAATCGTTTTTCCTCCGTTTTGGAGTTGGAGAAATCAATAAGACACTTTGAAGAAAAGAACAATGTCATAATTTCAATCGATCAGTCACCCTTCCTATTTCTCTGTCAATCTCTCTCCCCTCTTTTTCTGCCTGCCTCTCTCTCTCTTCCACACACACACTCACATACGACACACTCTACCGGGTCTGGGCGCTGAAACTTTCCGAAATCACAAAAGATTTCCCCCACAGGGTCTACGTTATACTTCGTTCCGCGTTACCGGGTCTGTAAACACTTCGTTGAGTAGGCCGGGATAGATCTCAGAATGGTCTCTCATTACGGAATTAAACACGAGAAAGTAAACAATAGCCAGTAAAACTACTACTACTAGATCTAGATCTACAAAATTATGAAGTCTGCTAAACTGGATTGGATCCAGAAAAAATCTAGATCTAGATTTCTAGATCTAGATCTAGATCTAGATCTAGATCTATCTGTCAATCAAATTTAAATTTTCTCTTCTATCTCAACTTCAACAACTACAGACAAAAGTAAAAGTGGAAGTGCAAAACTTAAGAGTGGGAAAGTATTTAACTTTTAGAACATTAAGCGACTTACTAATGAAACAACATTCTGGGGAAACAGGTGTAAAACGAGTAAACAGGCACAACGTTGTACAAGTGCAAATGAAATGTTATGTTCTATTCTGGTTTTGGTTTAGAACAATTCAATCAAGTCAAACAGTTCCGGTTGTAACTATCAACAGCTTTGTTTCGACAATATGCCAGGAGGCCATTTACATTCAGAATTGTAAATACAACTTTTATGATTAAAAAAACCTCGTGAGTATTAGAAGGCAGAACACAGCAAAAAGAGAAATTAAAACACGATTTGTTTTGCATCAAATAGACATTGTATTTATGTATCTAGTGAGCTGCAAAGGAATTTCAACCAAGAAGGGTTAAGAAGTTTTACACGTTGCTTTCAAGCGCATACCTGTCATTTGTAACTGTTTACAAATGGCGGTCACTGGATGTTTCAAGACCTAACACGAATTACAATTCCTCCTTTGAATTGTTTTGGGTTGAGAATTTGATTCTTAGAGTTCCAACATGAACTCAGACTTACTCTTAAAGATTTGACCCGTTTGGATATTACTATTTCTGTGGCAGTGAAGCTTCGAACTACGCAAGGTAAAGAAAAACGCGACCTTTTAATAAAAAAAGCAACATTTTTGATTTTCTGCATTTCAATATTTATTTATAAATGTTTGTTTTTGTTTGACAGCTCACTTTGTTTTTAACAGAGTGGCTTAGACAAGTCAGTATTAGGCATTAAAGATATAGATCTAAAGCAGCTTTTAAATCATGCTATTTTCGTTGCCATCAAATGATCCTGGATAGGATAGTGCTTTCAGATATACTATACTAGTCTATACTAGGCATGAATGAACCGTTGTAGCATGGCTGGCCTAGCATTAATTTACTGAAAGACACTTAGCCTTCTAAAGCTTAAACATTCTAAAGTTAACTTGCTGTAAAATCATTGCACACAAACTAGCTGTCCCCAGTGAAGGCGGACCTGCACTCCTTGTTTGGCATTTCTTCTAGTCGAGGAAAAAGAAATTTCTCACTTGGTCATTATTGCTTTTGAATGGTCAATATCTAATTTTCAGTTTTAGGAGTTTCTGTTCTTTTTATTTTCCAGAGCAAAGGCTTGCATTTCAAAAGCATCATGAAAGTGAAACTTGAGGTGCTTGCCTCCACAAACATCAAGAGGACAAAACCATGGCCAAAAATTGTTTGGCTTGGCAAGGTGAGGGAGCAGCTGTTAGTCGTGTCAAAGAATCATGATTTTTTCTCTTGATTATTATGTACCACTGTAGGGTTTTTATCGTGATGTGCATTGTGTCGACAATATTGCACTTGTCAGAGGGCTTCCTAATTAAAACAGACTTTGTTAAACAAGGTAGCACTGAGACTGATCAAGACCACAGTGGAAAAGGAAGTGCATCGGGTTTCAGGTAGAATATTCACTCTTTGGCTGGTTCAGCAAATGCTGAGAAACTGAGACTTCAGTTATCAGCTTTGAGTATGATTGTTGAGATGCCCAGTGGTTTTCATCAAGTGTGCTTTACTCTGCAGCTTTGTGTACACAACATAGCAATACCACAGGCCCCGCGCGGCAGTGTGAAAACGCGGTAGACTCACCCGAGCAAGTAGTAACCTTGGGAACACGTAAATTTATATATAGCGTTGTTCTTTGCATTAGCCCCATGCACCATACATCAATACACGCAGGAGAAATTGAGGCATTCACTGAAGAAAACATTTTTCGAATATCTGTAGCGACAGCCAAGATATTATTGAAGAAAGAGGATTGGTTGGTAGCGTCACCAAGACCTACCGAATGGCACCGTGATTTTCGGACTCTCCGTATTTGGTAGAGGTGCGAAATCCATCTAAATAGTAACCAAACATCTCCAAACTCGGCAACCAATGACAAGAAAGAAGGATCTAGCCTTGGCGGATTTCCGTGTCTTAATCGAACTAAAGACAAGAAAGTGGTAGTTTCTTTGAGGAGATTGTTTTAAAAAATGTGTGGTCGATTAATCCGTGGAATGCTCCTGCATCATCTCAGTCAAGCTGAACTTTATAATATAGAAACTATTACGTGAAATTATCCGTCAAACAATCGCATTTTGAAAAAAAGTAACATCGATGTCGTTCCTGTTTTTCGTGTGGCCCAAAAGCCAGAAAGGGAAACACTGCCGCACACGAGAAACGCTTGCCGCGAGATGTGTAAGCTTGCCCCCATCTTGCTGTGCTGTCACGGCTGTGTTAAAGAGTAACCGCTGATTGGACAGATATTTTGATGGGCCTGAATACCTCGGAAAACACCGTACTCATAGACACGGGTGCAACGAAGGTTTATTTCTATTTGCTATCACAAATATTTGGGCTTAATTTCGGGTTTACGCAAATTTAGTGCTGATATTGACTTCAAGGTATTTGCTTCCAGTATTTACAATGTTTTTGGCAGGAGCAGAGTGAAGATCACTCAGGTATATATATATTTCCGTGGATTTATGCTATGTGTAGGCCTACTTACTCAATAATGATAAAAGCAGAAGAACAATGTTATTTACAGAATACACACATCAAATAGGAATGAATGCAATATAATTGTAGTTCTGAGGCATATTTCATGGTATGGAAGGGGTGTGAGGTGGGAACATATTTTGCTAGGCTAAAATAACTATGTAATTGATTAGTTGTGCACATGATAATCAATTTGAGTTATTTGTATAATATAGTTTCAATTATAAGTTTAAAAAAAAGAAACTGAGCTTGATATTATTTATTAACCTGTTTGGTTACAATTTGGTTAATTATGCACATCATATTCAAATGAGTGCATAATAATTTTACAATAAAAACTCATTTGTCACATTTTCTATTTCATCTCTTTGTGAACACAGATTTGTACATCCATATATATGCCATATGTAACAGAATGGACATATATGTCTATTTTAAAGACATTTGGCTTATTTTTTTTATAGATTATATAATGCATATTTAATTATTTATTTGGCATATAATTACCAAGGTATTGAAATTACAACTTTAATTCTTCCATTTTCTATTTGGTTGCCCCAAAAAACATAAACTCACCAATTTTCAGCTCATTCCATTCATAAACATGTGAAAGTGAAAGTTATATTATAAATGGGTTTTCAATATTCTGGTGCCGTTTACCCTTCTTTATTCCTCAAAAGGACTTTTCTCCAAAATACCCACAATTTCAATTTTCTGACATGTACACAGCCATTTATGGACCAATTTTGAAAAAGTACAAAGCATTTACTTCTGGATTATTGACCTTTGTACCTGTGTTGTTTATAGGTTAGTAGTTCCCATCTTTAAAAAAGCTGTGGTATTGCTACACAACGTACTAACCTCTATAGATACATTCTACGGTCAATAAATTCAACCTTTGGTTTTTGTTGTCCACCTATGGTATAAGAGGGTTCATATAGATGTTGTTATATAAATATTCAGCTAAGATGATTCTCATCTTTTTTTTGTTGTCACCTACGGCTAAGACATTTGGTGTTTCTGTACTTTCAGGAACGAGAAAGTTTGTTTTTGCTGGATGAGAAGCGTATCAGTGTTCTCTACATCCCCTCTGGGAAGACCAAGAGGAGTGTGCCGAAACTCTCGGGCCTTTTGTCAAGCACAGTTTATTTGACTTCAACTCCTGGAGGTTTGAAATTACTGGGACTGAAATTAAATCTAACAATGCTGTTTTTTATCTAGTATTAATGGACTGTTTGTTTAAAAATAACTGGATTGACTGTTGTCCTGATATTATTGTTGAATATTTTCTCTATTGTGCAAGCCAATAGGTTCATTACTCCATATGTGACCTAACAGCTTCTACATCCTGAAACTGAAATCGAAGTTAATTTTTAGAAGAGGTCAGCTTTTTGTAGTGCAACACGTAAAGAGATGCTCTGCTAGATGATATTGTAGAGTGCTTGACCTTATCACTTCCTTGAGTCCTGTTGTAAATGTCATTTTTTGGCCTTCGTTGACCTAATTAGCTACATATGCCATCAGTTTTGTTTTAATAAAGATAGCAAGGGATCAGTTTGATGTGTTGGTGGACTTTTTTCTTTCTACATCTTTTAGGCAGAATTTTTTTTTGATGATCTGTAAGTGTGAAAATATTTGTTTGATCAACACTTTTACTTGCTTTACAGGTTCCCATTTGGTTGGTGTCCAAACATCAGGCGAGGTGTTTGTGTGGCACAAGGATAGAGATGATCTCAAGACTATTTGTGGACTTGCTAGTTTGCTCTTAGACAATAATATTACTTTAGGAGGTAATTCATCACAGTTTTTATTTTTGATGGGATGCGGGTGTGGGATAAATTTTTAACTTGAAAACTTGTAAAACAGAGAGACTGACTCATGAATTTTATTTTGCGTTTGAAAGTATACTTTAGTTTGAGTACAGTGCCATTTGTGTGCATTTGCAGATCATTTTCTTTTTAACCAAACTTTTTTTGAAAATGGTTTTGGAATTATTTCTTTTCAAGGAAACTGCTATGACACAGAGGCAAGGACTCATGAATTTTATTTGAAGGACAAATGCTATCTTCCAACATTTATAGATAGACATAAAATTACTTGGGCTTGAAATACAGTACCTATTATTTGCTGTCTAGGATGCAGATAGCTAAATCTGCGGGGCACAGAAATCTTTCTGCTTTGTGTGTGAATTTCGCTATGTATGTGTTTTATTTTAACTATAAAGAATGATATTGTTTAAGAAAAAAATCTGGGAACTAAAAATTTCTTCGCTCTGTGCGTGTTGTCTTATAATGCATGTTTCCCTATATGAGTGCTACACTGTTTATTATATATCTACATGGGCCTTTGCTGATAGTTTTGTTCCCAGTCATAATTTTTATGATGCAGTGGAGTTGAAGATTTATTTCCTTGGTTTTTGGTTCGGAGACATCTACAATACTGTTCTTTTCACACCCCCTTCACTTTTCCTGTAAATGTAATAATGTGAGACGTAAGGTAGACAGACTTTTATGTCAATATTTTTTGTTTGCACAGATGGCTGCAAAGCTTTTCCCTCTCCGGACTGTTCACAAGTCTTACTGGTGTTGGGAAACCAGAACATTTTCCTGTGGCAAAGAGAACTCTCGGCCACAGATGCCAAAAACAACACCTTGTTGGGCAAGTGGTTCAAGATTTCTACTTCTCTTCAAGTTCAACTGCCCTCTTCCCAGACGAAGGAAGTCAGCATGGATTCTGTGTACACCAGCTCGGAGGTATCAACTTTTGGAGGGTTTACATATTTGCATTTTCGGTATATTTATAAAAAAGATCATTGGTAGGTCAACACCTAAACTTCATTCTTTCTAATTTGGCTTTCTGCCTCTGTTTCCAAAAGTTTTAGAATATCTGTATCAAATATAGTTTTGACATAAGTTAAATTTATATGCACCTTTTGAAAGATACAATTCATGACAATGAACTTATAAGAGCATCTTTATAGTCAAGGAAGGTTGTTGACATGAAACCATAATGAGTCAGTTTTGTGAGTCTATAATGAGGTATGTATTAATGAGGTGTACTAACATTTGGGGGGGGGGGGGGTTGTGAATTGCATCACAGGTACAACAATAATCAGGTGATCTGAACAAATTGTTAAAAGAAATATTCTTGAGTTGTTCATAAATATCTACTTGCCTGAACGACAAGTTACTTACTGTATCCTCATATACCAAATCCTCATTCTTTTTCTGAACATGATGGTGGGTAATACAAGCTTGCAGCTTAAACCCTTTGTTGTTATGATGAATATCTAACATATATATGCATATTTTCAACTAAACTAACTGCAGCAAAACAGGGAATAGGCTTACAACTTATAGTAAGAGGTATGCATTTCCTTACTCCACCTTCAGAAATTGCACAACTTTGTGGCTGTTTTATATCTATAATTAATGTGTTTGCTGAAATGCTTGATATTTTTAATTGCATTTTGGGTCCCAGGTGTTTGGAGACTCCTGTCAGCTCAGTATTGTCTACACCCAGAAAGGAAATCTTACAGTTTGCTCCATGTTCCTAAGGTTTAACAGAGATGAACTGACTGGGTAAGCCTCGTAGACAGTTACATAAAAATAAGAAAAACGTCAGGAAAGCTGAGATCGTCTTATACCGTTATAGTCTTTTCTCTTGAATTGTCATAGATCTTGGAAAGCTATACTTGGATGGGTAGATAGTCTGCATTGTTATTTTTGACTAAGAAAAATTTAAACTGACTTCATCATATTTTAAATCAGGCCTCACATAATCAAGAAAAATACAAGTCAAGAGAACACCATAAATTAGTGATGATTATTAGAGAACATACAGTTCCATCTTATGTGCACAGCTTGATATATATCTACATGAGTTTTTACCATTCCTGTAAAGCCATGAAAAATTTCCAACCGTGGCAGTAAAGTAATATCTATTTTTGCTCATCTTACTGGTTTTTTTTTACCTAACAGCTTTTTCCTTACTTGATTGCAGGCAACCTTCAGAAACGGATCCTGCTGTATCAATAGAGTGGACAAGTTTGTTGTATCCAGTCAAGAACATTCAAGAAGGCTGTGAACCAATCAATATGCGAGGGGCGTATGTCTGTCATTACTCTCATGACGGCCAGATTCTGGCAGTTGGTGTTAATCAGAAGTCTCCAGCCCAGACGAGTGTGTTGTTTGTGTCACCTTTCACAGAAACAGTTCTTGTCTCCGACATGAGAGGCTGTGGCTTGAAAGAGCCTGGAGCTAAAAGAGGACGGTAAGGGGGAAATAATTGCTAGATGACAAATATAAAGTGAACCTACTTACTGCCCGTCATATTTACTAGTACATAGGGCGCCAGTGGACCTAATCTGCTGCTGTCTATATTAATTCAAATGAAACGTAAAGATGTCTTTGTAAGGGTCATGGGAACAACCTGTATATTAAAGTCTCTAATAAGATAGTCTTTAGAAAGCTTGATGTTGGATTAAGAATGTTGAAATTTTGCACATCATCCTTTTAAAAAGTACAGTAGTAAGACTTTTAAATTTTTATTCGTTTTGCTGAATATTTCAGATATGGATTGTTTCTCTTGTGAGAAAATTTGAGTAGGTTGAAAAGATTATTATGCTTTCTGCCCAATATATATCTGTAGCCTATAATATGGTGTTTATTCTTTTTTCTGGTGTTATTTTGTTTTATTGTAGGCAATACTGGATTTCAGACATGAGCTGGACAAGTGACAATCTATTTTTAGCCATCATGCTCCGTAATGGTTGTGCTGGTTTGCTGTCTCGGCTTGGGGAACCGCTGGTCGTATTCTCCAAAGGTTGCTCTGTTGAAATGGGTCCTGCATATTTCCTGCCCCTTTCACCTCTTATATCTGTGCAGTGAGTATATGTATATATATATATATGAGAACCAGCAGTTTTGCATCATTATAGCTAAAGTTAACATTTAATTACCTTTGCACAAACTGTAGGCTTTTTGGCTGCTATAAGTCAACAAATAAAGCTGAAGTTATAATTCACAGGTGAGAATGAACCAGCCAGTTGGCTCAGGATTTTGGCTAGCACTTAACCATCAGATATTTATACAAGTAAAACTCCCGTTTAAGAAATGTGGCCCCTTAAAGCTGTTTCATGGCACATATAGGAGCCTAGCTGATTAATTTTCAATGTCTGTGTTTTCATCATTAGATCTCAAGGTAGTTAGAGATTGGAAAGGGGCGATTTGCCATATTTTGTACTTTGGTCAGTGATGTACATTGCAAAAACATTTCTGTGTATTCTAAAGCTTTGTGTCTGTTTGAATGAGCTAACAAGGACCAAATATTATAGTCATTAATGAACAAACCTTTTATTAAAAGTTTATTGAAGCTGAATGCATCTGGGATTGTATTTCAAGTTAGAAAGAGGTAAAAAAAAATCTCAGATAACATTATTATTATGCATTATTTCAAAGTAGGGTCAATAAGCTGCACTTGCCTTTGCTAGAAGGTTTCAAAGACAGAAATGTATAAGATGTAGGACCTGTCCATTTTCTTTTTCCCTGTTGCACATAACAACTTTTGAATTACTTTTTGTTTAAGGTCTGACCGCCAGGGCCAGAATATAAGCAGTGACCTTCTTCCCTCGGCCAACTCTGAGATGGATCCGTTGCACCAACGTTTCTCTGTTTCCTCTCACCCCACGTTGCCGATCCTGCTCTTCTCCGATGGCTACTTGGTCATCATTATCCAGCTGCCCTCAGAGTTGAGCCCGGTTATCTTCATGAGAGACCTGGTTTTGGAGTCATCCGCTCATCTCAAGCAAATAGCGGAGACACATAGACTGGACCTTACCCTGCCCAGTGCCTACAATTTGCCCTCGGGTGAGTTGGAAAGTGTTAAACCCTCCCCTCGAGGCCAGAAGCAGATGAGACCTGGTCGCATCAATGTGCCTTACTCGTTCGAGGATCCAAGCGTGAGTCTGAATGAGACCATCGATAGTGAGGTGAGTTTTGCCCTTGGAGAAGACGCATCCTCTGTTGCCCAGTCTGGCGCAGTGCGTAACGCCAACTCGGGAAAGATAATCTTCTCGGAACCCGATTATTTGGAGGTGACCGAGGGATCATTTCTCTCGGAGCCCAACTCTTCCATGAAAGCCCTGCAACTGGCAAGGATCAGCCTCTTCAATGTGTGGAAACTGGCAGCAACTACGTCGGACGTGTGGTCGGCAAATCTGGACAAGATAGTAAACCACGCCGTGCACAACATCGTGAAGCTGTTCTCCCTGGTGTTAGATTGTCCTCAGATCAAGGATCTCCTGGATGCAGCAACAGAACAGCACGGAAAGCCGCCTGCTGTACAGACTGCAAGTCTTTTCAAGGTAAAGTGATATTTTAATTGAAACACACGTGGGTGGTTTACAGCCACTCAAGTGTGGTTTGCTCTTTCTTTCCTATCAAACATCTATTGTCGTCATCTGTCCTTTTTTATGTTCGTTACTCTCTTGTAACACCTCTAATCTTCTGCACTTACATGACCTGATTGTGTTGCAATTCTTTAAAGAGTTTACCAAAACAAGCTTGAAACTTCTTAACTGCTGTCAAGTTTTCATTCTTTCTATGTGCCTTTATAAATTATTTATGCAAATCTTTTGCTAGTTTCAGGATGGCGAACAATTGAAACTTTACATTCATCATTTCCTCATATTACAAAAGTTGGAACAGAATGATTGTATCACATTTGAAATTAATTTCAGACAAATCTCAAAGAAAGGAAAATATTATGTTTGTCCCTTCTTCTGTATTACCTCTCCCCAACGCATGCTTTTTATACCACTGTGTGGTTCTTGATTACAGAAGAGTGTTATTGCTGGGTAAAAAAATATTTTATGATATTTGCAGAAAAATATTGAATGCACTCAGTATCCTCATTCTAGTTATATTGGATAGCATCTCTTATGGATCCTTTAAAAGCATTTATAGAAATTTACCCTTTTGTGGTTTAATAGCAGTCATTCATCTTATCTTTTCTTATCTCAACTCATCTCATTTTCACAAGAGTTGATCAGTATTTATATAAAAATGAAGGACTGTACATTGTCCTCTAAGATAAACCAGTACTCTTACTCTTACCCTATTTTTGTATGTTGATTGCTGTGAGTAGTAAACGATTCTACTCTTACCCTATTTCTTTATGTTGATTGCTGTGAGTGATAAACGATTCTACTCTTACCTTATTTCTTTATGTTGATTGCTGTGAGTGATAAACGATTCTACTCTTACCTTATTTCTGTATGTTGATTGCTGTGAGTGATAAATGATTCCCCTTGCAGGTAATCTCTATGTACAGACAGCTGATGGACTTGGTCCAGTTCGACTGCCGCCAGCACCATCTGATGGCTTCTGTTCTGCAACTGTCCCACAAGACTTTACTCACTATTCTGAGTAGCGTGGGGCTGGAGATGAGTGACTCCCGTGTCAAGACCCTCACCGGCTGCTTTACGCTGCTTAAGTTCACGGAGAAGAGCATGCAGCACACGTACGTGGCCATCCCCAAGTCTCTGCAGTCGCGGGGCGTCACTCCGCGCGTCACTATGGGAGAGGGAGATAACCAGATGCAGATACGCGAGGGCGAGGGTCTCCACTCGGAGGTGCAGCTGGCGAAAAGGTGAGCGGGTGTTGGTTTTTTGTAGTTGTTGATTCTTTTCCTTTCGGGACTGTGACGAGCCTTTTGTGAAGGTTTTATTTAGGTTGCCATATGTAAACGATTTAGCAAAGTTTTATTTTCACTAATATTTGCTTTCCTTTGTTCTTCATTTAAAAAAAATTTACGAGTCCCTCATCAGTGCATTTTCTTTTATTAGTCTTCATTTTTTTTGGTAAGAATGATTAAATGTTGTTAGGTCTTGTTTCTTTTGTTTCCATCTTCTATTTTCTAGTTATAGTTGTATTTGGAACATTTTGTATTCCCAGTTTATTTGCGATTTTGAAACATGTCTACTTCTACAGTTTCTCTCTTATCTTGATCAGCGAAAACAAGAATAAACCTCCCTTCTGTACAATTTCTCCTCTCCAAAGTGTGTAAACAATGTAGCCCTGATGCTTTTACTTCTCAGTACTTTATTTTCTTTGTGGTGTGTTATTTGCATTATTGATATGCTCTCATT